TCCTTAATGGCCAGCTCAACTGTGGTTTCTGTGACTTCTCCAGCTACAACTTTTACCTCCACTGCCTCTTCCTGTGTCTCCTGCCCTTCTTCCTCCACTTCGTCTGCTGGTACTCCATCTGGACATTCACATCATTCATCTTCATGCTTGGCTGTTTTTCAGTCATTAGTGGGGAAATCAGATTTATACCTGCAGGTAGCTTTCTTTTAGCTTTAATCCATTATCTTTTTCTTCAGTGGGAGTTATTGGTGTAAATAGAAAGTGGTTCTCTCAGTCTTGGGTTATTGGGCAGCTTTGTCCCATACCTTCATTTTTTTCCAGATACTGTGGAATTTCTACTTCACCTATCCTTACTATGTACATATGTTCCTTCTAGATTAGTCATCCTCCCTGACTGCCTACCATTCATAACTCACAAGTACTGTAATTCAATGCCATGATGAACATTAGCTTTGTATTTTGCTCCTTGGGTAAAGGTAGAGATTATAATCGTGTTGTCCTTTTTTTGAACAGATGTAAATAAATTAGCCAGATGAATATATATATAAAGTAAAATTAAATGCTTTCTGTTTATGTTAGTTTTAATGCCTTATAAATTTTTTTGTTCGATGAAGTGGCTTAGCACATGATGTCATTAGACCAACTATGGTATGTGTATGAAAACTTCTTTCATATCAACAGTTATATAAATCATGCACAATGGCATAGTTAATAGTTACATTATATAGGAGTTTTATGTATTAAAATCATAAGTTAATCAAAAAAAAGTCAAAGAAATATTTTAATAGTTTCCATAGTTGCATGTTTGTGTTTCAGATATCATGATTTCTGAATTATTAACTTTTATTAATGCAAGGTCGGATGTGGAAGTAAGCCTGCCACCAGGCTTTAAGGGGTTAATATATTCTTTACTTATTAGAAGCTACAAATGTAGCCAGTGTTACTTAGTGTAAAATTGCTTTAATAATAATGGTAAGTTAATATTCATTATTCTTTTTAAAAAATGTTGATTGCTGAATAACTTTCTTGTTTAACTGATTTGTCAAAATCAATAAACATGGATGAATATCAGTAACAATATGTAACACCATTAAGTTGTTGACCTATTACACCTACTGTAACACCATTAAGTTGTTGACCTATTACACAAGCATAACACCATTAAGTTGTTGACCTATTTACACCTAGTGTAACACCATTAAGTTGTTGACCTATTACACAAGCATAACACCATTAAGTTGTTGACCTAATTATACCTAGTGTAACACCATTAAGTTGTTGACCTATTACACCTTGTGTAATACCATTAAGTTGTTGACCTCTTACACCTAGTGTAACACCATTAAGTTGTTGACCTATTACACCTAGTGTAACACCATTAAGTTGTTGACCTATTACACCTAGTGTAACACCATTAAGTTGTTGACCTCTTACACAAGTGTAACACCATTAAGTTGTTGACCTCTTACACCTAGTGTAACACCATTAAGTTGTTGACCTCTTACACCTAGTGTAACACCATTAAGTTGTTGACCTATTATACCTAGTGTAACACCATTAAGTTGTTAACCTATTACACAAGTGGGACTCCTATATAATTCCAAACAGCTTTAGCAAGATAGTAAGCACTGAAAAGAGAAAATAAAAGTCTGACTGTCCTCACATGCTGCTTAAAATCTGCCTAGTACAATAAACCTAAAGCTTTTCCACTTATTGATTTTTTAGCATAGTTGTGCGTTTCTACAGTTTCTTCCAGCTTATATTGTAAAATGTAATCATTTTAATGTGTTCCTTCTGAATTTCTATTAATGTCAACAACTTCTCTTTAAAAGCTTATGATGTTTACCTTGTGTAGTTGTTAATTATTTTTTTTATAAGTTCTTCACGTTGCTAATAGAATTAAAATTCCAATTTTATTTTACTTTGATTTGAATACTGCTTATAATATTTTGATTTGTACCTTTCAAATAATTTTTATCTCTGCAGAGAGATCATAAGTTTTCTTGAGAAATAGTAAATGTATTATTTGGTTTTTGACAATAGGATTGAATTTGTTTTTATAGAGTTGTATATTATCTAACAAACATTGTGACCAGAGTATTTGCAAGTTTTATAATATGAAAGCAAAGGACAATCATTGTTAAGGAATAATTAATTAATTTAGTTTTAATAGCATTGTCTTGTGACAATTTGTTGGGAGAAACACAAATCAAATACACAATGTAGTACAAAATCTTGAACAAGCGTACACGAAGAATGAGATTGTTTTAATTACATATTTGAATTAAAGATTTATTACTGTATTGTAGTTATCTGTCCTGTTGTCATCAATGTATTGTGTAGTGAAATGTTTCAAATTAAAAATAAAAATTGTACCTTTTAATATTTCGTTGAATAATCTTGAAAATCTTCTTATTTTTTCACAGAAAGTTCATTCTTGATGTTTTATTTTCCTTTCTCATCCCTTAACATTATTATATACTGCGACACATGTTAACACTTCATCCGTTGTCAGAACATGGGGACATTTGCCAACTACACTAAGTCTGATAAACCAGAGCAGCTTGGGTTATGTTTTAAAACAAAAATATATAACTAAAACTTGTATGAAATTTAATTGTCTATCCAATTAACATATTTACAGGTGAGAAATAATGCTAAAGTGCTGGTGAGGACACAAGTGGCAACAATGATAAGAATGTTTAACAAGTAGTCAATAGAATTCTTATAAAATAACTGTTCGGAAATAGTATTTCAAAATGTGGTCTTTCTATTCGTTACAAACATTTAGCTTAACTAAGTATAATTGGCTGAGAAATCACAATGTATGGGTAGAGAGTGGGTGTGGCATCTGTCAAGAGTTTAAAAGATTTATTTCCCTTTCCTCTGAACATACCCTAGAGAACTTGTAAGGAGAATATGTAAACAGAGCAATTAACCTAGATTCTTTCTGTGCATGGAAGGTTTACTTTAGTCAAGTCGTTCAAACGTTAAAACTTTCTAAGTAACTAACTGCAGTTGTGCATCAAACTGAACTTAAAGAATTTTCTTTAAGGTTTCTTTTGCAACAAATGCATTAAAACTTAGGTAATATAATAAAATAAAATCTCATGACATGCTCATACAGAAGTGACCATAATCACATAAACCAACCCGTAACCATTGATTTAATTGATTTTTCTCACATGAGAATAATCTTCCTCTTGTAATCCTGTTTTTGTTAATTTTAAAGACATTTTTGAGCTACTATATATTTAACATGATAGCCATTTTCAGTAACAAAAATTTAGGATTAAGTTATTTCTTTAATCCTTAACTGTTGTACGTGAAAATGTAAAGTACTTGTAATCTTTAACATCTTACCAAGTTAGGTATTGTTGAATTGTGTGTCGTATGTCTCCATACAAACTATGACTAATAGACCTACCCGTAACTGTTGAGTTAATGAATCTGTTAGTTAAACGTTTAACAACATCTTACCAAGTTAGGTATTGTTGAATTGTGTGTCGTATGTCTCCATACAAACTATGACTAATAGACCTACCCGTAACTATTGAGTTAATGAATCTGTTAGTTAAACGTTTATCAAATTATACAAATTACCAAGCTCTCCTTTTTACACAACTTGTTTTTTTACATTCATTTTACTTATTTATGTACCTTGTAGAACAAATCCCAAACCCAAAGTTTTGCTATATCATCCCTATTGTAACTTAGTTATGCAGACGAATGATAATAGCACTAGTGTACCACTATATCATCCCTATTATAACTTAGTTATGCAGACGAATGCTAATAGCACTAGTGTACCACTATATCATCCCTATTATAACTTAGTTATGCAGACGAATGCTAATAGCACTAGTGTACCATTTCTGTAACAATACCCCAGATGCAGTTGTTTTTCATGTTATTTCACTATTCTTATATATTTACAGAAATGTGCACTTTTGTATAGATATGTGTATGTGTGCATGCATGTGTTTATAAGAAAGTAACAGAACTTTCTCTATGCTTTGATCAAATAACATTTAAACACATAACCTATCACAGCTACTCTGTTAATAACAAAATAGCCAAACATTTCAAGCATGAGACTTCACTGATTGACTTGGACACCACAGGTGAAGTCTCATGCTTGAAATGTTTGGCTATTTTATTATTAACGGAGTAGCTGTGGTGTCCAAGTCAATCACTAAATACCTAAGAAAAAAAACGTTTTAGCCGATCTGGTGTTTCTGTTTTATTTATTTATTATGAAGAAACATATTGCTGGTTAACAAGAGGAATTCAATCAATACGATAAGAGTAATATCCTCGCACTCTGATACACCACAGATTTAAATACCTTGATATCCTCATTAATTAAATCAAAATTACTATTTAACAATGTTGTTTTAAGGGTATTTTAGGCAGTGTAGACAGATATTTTGGCTTTAATGGACCACTCCTGCCTGTTTCTAAGAGTCATGTCAGCTCCTATACTGAGTTAAAAATGGCCTCGATATAGAAACTGAGAAGTTATCTCACTCTAGAAATTGGCAGGAACAGTTCATTAAAGTCAAAACTCTAAGATTGAACAATAGCTTTGAATACAACAAACATTAAGATCACACTAAAAACTTGGTCTACCAATGGCATAAGGAGGATCAGATGGCAGTAGCCCATGTTACATTTTGTTCAATTGCCTTTTGTTTGTTTTTCTTTGCTTTCCCATGTTAGTTCAATTGCCTTTTGTTTGTTTTTCTTTGCTTTTAAAGGATGGTGGGATGGGGAGAATCTTGAAATTTCTAACATTTGGAAAAGGTTCGTTTCCAAGTTCCAGACTTCTCAGTTTAAACTGTTTACCTGTAACTTTCTAATGAAGTATGGGGTTAGTAGACAATTGTTTGGTATGAATATATCCAAAAACTAAAACATTTTATTACATCATATAATGTGAAATACTGTTTAAAATAAATAGTTTACATCTTCCTTCTTCTTCCTCTTCATCATTACAGAGTTTAGCTAAACAAAGTAGCATGGAAGATCCTTTGGGATTTCAAGATATGGAGGGAGAAAATGGGACCGATGAAGAGCTTCGTGACATTGAAGAACGACAGGTTGCTCTTGAAGAAGCTCGTCTATCTAATGAAGAACCTAGACCACCATCCCCTCGTCCATCTACACCAGTTCCGAGTGGAGTACAGTGCCATGCTCTGCTGTTACCTAATAAAGGACTTCCATGGGTACCTAAAGTACGACAGAAAGATATAGAAAACTTTCTGGATCATACGAGAATGAAGTTTGTTGGATTTCAACTACACAATGATAGGTCTTCATTGGCTGGTCTCCCTCAGCCTATCCATGAAGGATTAAAGGTTTTAAAACAGGTATGATTTTTATTAGATTGTTTAATGTTTGTACAATGATAAGTGTTATTAGTTTGCACAGCCAAAAATTACTGCCTCATTGGCTGTGAATAGAAAATGTTGATTGCATCCAGAAACTTTTGCCCGTAAACCTTCAAATTATCGGTATGGCCACATGTCACCTTGGAAAATAATCATAAGACCTGAATACAGTCATGGTTGGTAATATTTAACTTTGAAGATTAAATTCTGACCAAAATTGAACTTTGGATATTTTCAAGTATTTTGTTTTAGCTAGTTGTATTTAGGGACGGCTAGCGCAGATAGCCCTCGTGTAGCTTTGCGCGAAATCCATAACAAACAAACTTATGGTAATGCAGTATTCCCACATCCATTAAACATATTTTTCAAGTTCTACACATAGTATGGTTGTTATTAAGACTCTGGATAAACTTTATCAAACTTAGAATCAAGTTGAAAATGGTTTATGTTGCAGAATATTCTGTTTAATTTTCAGACTTCTGTTATATGTATAAATATGACAATCTTTCCTCTGGTTCCCCATGTCTACAGTACAATAAAATATTTGAACAGTGAAAGCCATTGATAAGTACTTTGGTTTACTGAAACAGAGAGACAGAAAAACGACATATGCTAGGAATGTCCTTTGTTGTTGTTTTTTGTTATGTATCTTTAAATATGACTCCATTTATGTTGAATTGTTATTGGTAATCTTTACAAATATTTCTGTCTTCTACAGTTAGCCCTCTCATCATGGGCATCCTTTTGTGCTCATGTCACGAGGATTCAGTGAGCTACATTTAAATTTAATTAAACTACTTTATTATCCTGATTTTAATTTTATATAAGTCTTAAGCTCTTAAGTTTATAAGGCAATAATAAAAAGAATTCCTGAATTTCCCCTAGTGTGAGAATTATGCCATTTTCTCTCTAGGCATTCCCCACTCCAAGAAGTACAAAATTTAGCATAACTAACTCATTATAATGTCCTCATCGCTCAGGCAAAGCATAACTTTCATAGCCTTCAATATTGTTTGGTTACAGAGCCATCAAATAGAAAATCATATCCCTCTTGCCATACCCACCTGTCACATCTTCTCTTTCATAAATTCCCAATAGATCTCTCTGACGTTTAATATTACATTACTTATACCAATAGAAAGCCAAGGTTTTAATCTATCAAATGATGTATTACATTACATTGTTTTCTCTAGAAAGAATTGTCAGTTTTGCTTAAAGTTTAACTTAGCTGAACTTCTTTCGGATCTTGTTGCATTATTACAAAGCCAGATAAATTATGATAGTTATGGTACATATTCTGCTTTTTGCACGTTATTATTCTGTGTTCTTTGGTGCATTATTTAATTAAATAAATAATTATTTAGTGCAGTAGTACCATCAATATAAAAAAGTAAGTGTCATTGACAGCACAAAAAAAAAACAAGATCCAGGAAACCACTTTATTTCTTCTTTTTTCATCTCTATTCTTTATTTATTATAATAAAATTAACTAAAATTTAAAATTGGAAACTTTTTAGGTTAGAAAGGTAAATTAAAGAATAAGAGTAATTTTTTCACAAGGTTTGCTCGCGAGTAGTCCGTATGTTATGTCATTTGATACTGTAACATGAGCTGTTCTTTGTGATTTATAACTTGTAGGGTGCAAATAGTAGCTAGACATGATTCAAATTAAATTGAAATATAAATAGATGTATACTGTTACGGTTGTAAAGCTATGTAGGATAAACACGTGACAGTTTGAATAGATGTATACTATACTGGTGGTAAAGCTATGTAGGATAAACACGTGACAATTTGAATAGATGTATACTGTTACGGTTGTAAAGCTATGTAGGATAAACACGTGACAATTTGAATAAATGTATACTGTTACAGATGTAAAGCTATATAGGATAAACACGTGTCAATTTTAATAGATGTATACTGTTACAGTTGTAAAGCTATATAGGATAAACATGTGACAATTTGAATAAATGTATACTGTTACAGATGTAAAGCTATATAGGATAAACACGTTACAATTTGAATAAATGTATACTGTTACGGTTGTAAAGCTATGTAGGATAAACATGTGACAATTTGAATAGATGTATACTGTTACGGTTGTAAAGCTATATAGGATAAACAAAAGTAATTTCACGTAACAATTTTAATAAATGTATACTGTTACGGTTGTAAAGCTATGTAGGATAAACACGTGACAATTTGAATATATGTATACTGTTACGGTTGTAAAGCTATATAGGATAAACACATGACAATTTGAATAGATGTATACTGTTACGGTTGTAAAGCTATATAGGATAAACACATGACAATTTGAAGTCCATTTTAGAAAGAAAAAAGGTAATTTAGATTTATTTCAATTTGATTTTTTGGTTGTTATTAGGTCAGTCAAATTGACCAACTTTGTATGAAGTTAGGGTAGAGAAATTAACAGATAAAATATACATTTTTATTGAAATAAAATATTTGAAATTTATTTAGGTTTTAGAAATTATGCAAATGAAATTTAAGATTTTTGAGATGAAGAAAAGTATTTTTAATCTTAACATGAAAATCACTTTGCATTTGGATTAGTAAAAAAAAAAAGACTATAATATTCACGGACAAATCTTTAGAAAAAGTACTTCATTGAAATTCTGATTTTTTGTGTACAGAAGACTTGGAATGTTTACTGAAAGTCTGCTAAAGCTTGTGAAGATACACATACTAATTAAAAGTTGTAGTATGGAATCTATAATGAGTACAAAGTGGTTACGAACTCGGTCAATTTACAACAGAGTCAAAGAACTGTACGATTTTCTGGAACAGAAAGTAAATATTTGATCCCAAAATCAACTTTAAAAACTAACACAGAAAAATTTGTTTTCTGCCAGCCCCTGTAGCTACACTTGCACATACAGTTTTCACAGCTAAATGTGTAAGCATTGTTGATTTTATTTGGTACCGCTTTTTAACTTAGCATTTTTTATGCACTACAGTTTTATTTCTGTCAACTGTTATAACATATAAGTAAAAAAATTTTTCTAGATAACAAGATTACACTAGTAGTGTGGCCTGGCATGGCCCGGGTGGTTAGGGTGCTTGACTCGCAATCCGCGGGTCGAGGTTTCAAATTCCCATCCCACCAAACATGCTTGCTTTTTCAGCCGTGGGGGTGTTACAATGTGATGGTCAATCCCACTATTCGTTGGTAAAAGAGTACCCCAAGAGTTGGCAGTGGTTGGTGATGACTAGCTGCCTTCCCTCTAGTCATACACTGCTAAATTAGGGACGGCTAGCACAAATGGCCCTCATGTAGCTTGCGCGAAATTCAAAAACAAACACTAGTAGTAATGAGAGAAAGGACACTGGCTTTCATTTTGTAATTAATGCATTTCATTTTATTTTTTGCATGACATTATTTCATTGGTCTTTATACAATTAGTCTGACAAAATGTGGTTAAATAGTGCAGAAAATTTCTAAATGTTCTGTGGTTAAAGTTTAAGTGCAACATTATAACAGATGACTCGCATGTCATTGTGACAGCAATAGGTATTAAAAAGAATGATGTTAAAAGTTACTGAACGTTAGTGTTTCATAAAATCCAAAATTTATCGTAATTTTAAAACTGTAAATACATGTAAGGTAATATTTCATATAAGTGTGATAAATTAATCACTAAAACTTTGAACTACATTTGTAATGCCATTTTCACATTTTTTTTTTTACTTTTATGGTTAACATAGTTGCTTCATCCCTCATGTTCTAAATAGCTTCTTTAGGTCTCTTCTCTTGCATTTAAGGCACAATCATAGCATTGGATCTGAGAAGGCTTATCCCATAGGAAATGTTAATAGCTGCATCACAACACCTGCAGCAATGGAGCTATTGTTCAACATTTTGATCAATTCTTGGTGATAAATACTAACCTTTAAGGTCATTTCAGAGCAAAAACAGCTATAGTCAGAGTCAACATGTTATTAATAACTCATGACATTTTGCATTGATTCCCTTGGCAGCCACTGTACAAACTTTTCAATAAATATGTCCTCACCATCACCAGATGATATGCTCAGAAAGGCCTTCCCATGAAATTGCCTTTGCTATGTAGTCACTCAGTACTTCAGAGCAACCTAGTTATGATTGTGCCTTAGTCATCAGGCTGCTTCTTATCTATGTGTTCTAGGACATAGAATGTTGAGCCACTCAGCATCAGGCATTGCACTGTGTGTGTCTAAATATAACATAAAACCGTGAAATGCATCAGGAAATATTTCAGGTCCTTCTTTGTCATCTCTCTTATTATCTGAAGGTTAACCTGCTTCATATCACCAACATACCACTATGTTGCTGATACATGGTCAGTGCTCTAGGGAGGCCCACCTCTTCTCCAAGAATGTAAGAGATTTGGACATCCTGACAAATTTAGTGTAAGGTCAGCAGCAAAATGCTAAGGGATATGTCTTCACTGCATTTACCACAGTCATTGCTTTTGATATCAGGGTGTTATTGCATGCCCTCACAATTCAAAAGAAGGCATTGCTTGTGACGTCAGGGTGTTATTCAATTAAATATTTGCAGAATCATTATATCACTTGTAGTATTGCTGCTCTTCCCTGTGTATTTTGTCTACCATGCTTACCTCTACTTGATTACAGACAACTCTGACCAGGGTCTGGTGCTGCCTATTTAGTCAGTATGGTTTCTAGTAGAGACCATCTTATGGTTTCAGTTTACCTTTGCCATTATCACTCATCTTAGTTGGTGTGGCAGCTACTCTTCCAGTCACCTTATAGCCTCATGGATGAATCTAGTCCTCATATTAACAACAGCTTGACCATACATTCTTTATGGTCTTATGAAATACTGTCCATGGTCATGATCTACAAATTGTATGGCAAACTGAGATTCAAATGAAACTTTCTGAATAAATTCCGCATTAGCTAAATATTTGAGGGCACCAGAAGTGTAACTTACTTAACTAACTTAAGTCTGTGGTTACACAAAGACTTAGTCTGTGGTTACACAAATCCACAAAAAAGTATAACTTAATGACTTAGTCTGTGGTTACACAAATCCACAGTTACTGTTCACAACCATTTTCAAGCTCTGACATATAATGTGTATTTTGTATAAAGTGAAATAAAAAAGGTACTCACAGAAAGGAGAGTATTTTGGATTTTGACATATTCTGACTGTCACATGTCACGTTAAGCCTAAGTAAGAAAAATTATGTGTAAGCCAGAAACATGTAGAAAATTCTGAACTTTATAGAATTTGTTGGAAACAATAACCAGAGATTGAAGTAAAAACAATATTAGTCTAGTGGTTTTTTCAAAGTTTACTCAGGAATGAGTAAAAATAGATTTATATCTGGAGTAAGTTAATTGTTTATAGATTTTTATGATGTGGTGGTTCTTTTACATTAGTTAGCTCTGCAGTAAATGTGCTAATTTTTTCATTATTCAGCATATGTATACATCTCTAGCTGAAATACAGATTAAGAAGGAAGAGGATATTGCAAAACACCCTTTATCTCAGGTAAGTGTGTTCTTCCGTTCTGCATTAGGCATAGCAAATTAGTTGCCGAAGAAGAAAATGAAACTCACTAAAAACTGAAAGTTGTAACTAAAATTTCTTTGGTATTTTAATTTCATCCACATTTTATTGATATTTATGTGAATTTGACATAAATGTCACATATTTTTTCAAATAAGATAAAACAAATTTGTGTACTGACATTACACCTAACTGATTGAAGCCATATACAGTAGCAAAAAAATAATGTTGTTTATCTAGACTTTTGCTTAAGATTTCAAATTACAAGAAGAAAATGTCTTTCTGAATATTTGTATTGTGTATGTGAATTGTAATAAACATAATCCATATACTGAAAAAATGTGATAATAAATGGCTTACTCGTATGAAACTCTGTAATATTATCCTGTATGTTCACCGTAATATTATCCTGTATGTTCACCGTAATACTATCCTGTACGTTCACCGTAATACTATCCTGTATGTTCACCGTAATACTATCCTGTATGTTCACCGTAATACTATCCTGTATGTTCACCGTAATACTATCCTGTATGTTCACCGTAATACTATCCTGTATGTTCACCATAATAGTATCCTGTACGTTCACCCTAATATTATCCTGTATGTTCACCATAATATTATCTTGTATGTTCACTATAATATTATCCTGTATGTTCACCATAATATTATCCTGGTATGTTCACCGTAATATTAACCTGTATGTTCACCGTAATATTATCCTGTATGTTCACCGTAATATTATCCTGTATGTTCACCATAATACTATCCTGTATGTTCACCGTGATACTATCCTGTATGTTCACTGTAATATTGTCCTGTATGTTCACCGTAATATTGTCCTGTATGTTCACCGTAATATTGTCCTGTATGTTCACCATAATATTGTCCTGTATGTTCACCGTAATATTGTCCTGTATGTTCACCATAATATTGTCCTGTATGTTCACCGTAATATTGTCCTGTATGTTCACCATAATACAATCCTGTATGTTCACCGTAATATTGTCCTGTATGTTCACCATAATATTGTCCTGTATGTTCACCGTAATATTGTCCTGTATGTTCACCATAATATTGTCCTGTATGTTCACCGTAATATTGTCCTGTATGTTCAC